TGTGTGTGTGTGTTTTGTTTGTTTGTTTGCCTTGTTTTATTTAGGTAACTCATAATACTTTGCAACCTTGAACTTCGGTAAATCCCCTTTGTACCATATACCCGCTTTTTACTTGCTCCCCGAGGAACTTCTGGATAAAATAAAGCCCTAGGCTGCTACATGACAAATAATTGTGGTAATCAGCTTTGGAGAGTTGATACGGTGAATTCTTTACGTTCCAGGGATTCCTAACCTTGGAAAGGTTTGGAATGTTTCCCTCCTGGCCGTGCATGGGCTCAGGCTGGTGACGATGAAATCTGCTGTTGCACAGGGGCATCAGGGCGCTGCATTTGCCCATTGAGCTGCCCGTTTTTAGGTGACTGAAGCCCTCCTTGTGCATTCAGGCTTAAGCTTTTGGTCAACAAATYATGTGAAAGGCGTAAAAGCAGCAGCTCTAGAGGTTCAGCTCAGAGGCTCTTTCTTCAAGATAATGCAAGTCTGTTGCATCTCAAAGAAACATTTTTTGTCATTTTCCATCACAAACCCAGCCTGGGTTGCTGCAGGGTCTGCTGCATGTCTCATCTCTGCTGTTTTAGATTCAGAGTCCTGAATCTCAAGTTCATTATGCAATATATGCACAAATGCTAGTTGAGGTTTAGTACTCTGCTCTTTTGGAACTATTTGTTTTCATGCATTTCCTCCAGAACTTCATGGGGCTTTTCTGTATGCTCACAGCCCTGCTGGGTGCCATGTTACACACACGTGTTCTCAGAATCCCAGAACGCTTGAGGGTGGAAGGCAGCTCCAGAGGTCATCTAGTCCAACCACCAGGACTCCAAGTGCCCTCCAACCACACGCAGGTCACCTAGAGCGTGTGGCACAAACACACAGGYCTTTCTGTATCACTGTCCCCAGATGTTTGTAGCTGCCACTCATGGTGGTTCTGCCTACCTGGATTGTGTATATCTGGTTTAATTTTCATTTTTCCTTCAGAAGCCAGCTCTGGTTTCTGATAATCTGTGTGTGGTGGTGGTGATTTTGGTAGTTGTGATGTCTTTTTTTTTTCTTCTTCTTCTTTTTTCTGTAAACTCCTTAAAGTTGGTTTTAAAATAAAGAGCACTGCAGAGGTGACAGCCTATAGAGTGGCAGCCTATAGGGTATTGCGTTGTGGATATGCTTTGGCTAGCACTAGGGTTAGGACTGATGTGCTATTGCCTCTAGCTTGTGAGGGAAGGCAAAGTTAACTAATGGTTAGTATAGACATAAAACCTATTTATTTTAAGGTTGTGCATTTTAGAGGCTGTGTTTGCTCCTGGTGTTTTAGGATGGCCTGTTTGGGTTTCCAGCTGAGCGTYTGTGGTCTCTTGCAGCAGAGCTCCCCCCTCCGTATACGGCGATCGCAAGTCCGGATGCCAGCGGGGTCCCCGTGATCAACTGCCGGGTGTGCCAGTCCCTGATCAACCTGGATGGCAAGCTGCACCAGCACGTGGTCAAGTGCACCGTTTGCAATGAAGCTACGGTAAAAACGGGTCTTTAGTATTTCGTTTTTCGTGGAGGGAAGGGGGTGGGTGGAACTGYTCAGTCGTCGGAATTCATGTCCTTACCTGGAAAGGGTGAGTCACTCGTGACATCCCTACAAAGGACCTGTCAGGGGATCTGTCACTGTGCTGGTGTGTGCGAGGATGCTGCCACCCAAGGATGAGCATAAGCAGTTAGAATAAATCTTTGTAAAGAGAATAAATCTCATTCTGAGGGAGAGGATAAAAACCAAAGGTTTTTAAGTAACTACTCGTATGTAAAGAATGTTGAAAGAAATAAAGCATTTAATTTTCAGAGTAGAAGAAACAAAAGTGCCTGACCCGTACATGCTGCCCTGGAACTGGGCTTTGCTCCTGAAATACAGGCATTTAACTTGTCAGGAGGCTAACAAATGGCAGCAGGGCAATTTTAAAGCACAGGAACTGCAGGTTTTGTTCCACCTACTGCAGCGGTTACYGCTGGCCCTTCTGGCCCTGAACTTCTCCCTCCCCCACATTCTTATTTCAAGTCTTTAGTTCTCGWTATCCTTGTGGTTTTCCTGCCTAACAGTTTGGGAATTGGATACTGCAGTGGTCCACAATGGGGACATTTACATGGAAAACAGTGAATTGTCATTTTCTTTCTTTTTTTTTTTTTTTCCTTTTTGTGTGTGTTTGTGCAGGGGTGAGGGGAAATATTTAAATCCTATCCAGATAATAGGATGCTTTAGATCTGTAGAAAACTGAGTAGAGAACTTTCCTCATTACTATTTGATGGTTTGGGTCAAACAAAGGCTAGTACAGCTTTTGAGATCTGTGATCCTGTTTGAAAGGAACCCAGAATCTTGCCTGCCAGCTTTGAGGAAGATACTTTCAGAACAACTTAAACTGAGATTGGCAGTTCAGCAACGTCTGCCTGTTCTCTTAGCACCTGTGAGCCAGACTTTGATTCTTTTATTTTGAACAAAGCCGTTGTACCAGGCAAGGAGACTTCCTTGATATGTTGAGTGTTTTTCAAAAAAATATACCGTTGCTTAAGCTTGCATTTGAAAAAAGAGCTTACAGTGATTTGAATTGTTAAAATATGAAATTCAGTTAGTTTTCAGAATCTCTTGTTTGTTGCCAGTGATGTTCTGATGAAAAAGTAGGCATCTTGTTTTGCTTTGGGGAGAGAGTGAGAGCGAAAAGTTTTGTCCTCACTCTGGGTTCCCTTCTGCAAGAACTGCATTTCTTTGAATTTCTTTATTGTTATAAATTTGTCTTGTAAGTGGTTGTGTTTTGTTGATACTTTTACAGGGGTTGTATGAAAAAAGTGAATTGCTCTGACTTCAGGTGTGTTTTATGTGTTTTATTTATTTGTTTTTATTTTCATTCAGCCAATCAAAAACCCTCCTTCAGGGAAGAAATATGTTAGATGTCAATGTAACTGTCTCCTTATCTGTAAGGATACATCTCGGAAAATAGGCTGTCCACGACCAAACTGGTAAGAGGAAACAAACTCTAAATGCTTTATATCACTTTCTTTAAGGCAGTGGCACATGATGCATTGAATATTTAGACCTAAAGAGTTCCAGGCCTGGGCAGAACTGTGTGCTGGCACTTGCAGAGCRTTAGGGAATTACTGCATGCACAAATAGGGGTAATGACATTTTGACTTTTAGATCAACTTACTCAGAAAGGAGAAACTTAAGTGTTCTTAGTGATACTCTCAAACATATTTCCCATTTATTAGATACTACATGAGGAACACCCGGTGTGAAGAAAACCACTTCTCACTTCTGGGGAGTAGTGCTCAGAGTTTCCTACAGAGTGATCTGCTGTAGATGCACTGGTTGCTCTCTCTGCCTTTTTCCCTTTCTGCATAAGGATTTCACACTGAAATGAGAGAAGAGGCAGTAGGTTGTTGCATTCCTGCCTTCCCTTGGCTACCCTGAGCTAGCATCTCTCCTCTGAGCTCTTGTGCTGTAGTTGGCACATTTGCTGTGACAGCCGAGTGCAGCTGCCATCCTGAGCTTTCTTACCTTATATATGGGGCTTACAGCATTAAGGCTGCCCTGAGCTGGGAGTGATTTGGTTGGACGTGGCGCAGCACCCAGGCCAAGGCTGGGTCTGTGGGTGCTGGGGTGTCAGTTCCAGCACACYGTGGGCTGTAGCCACAGCCTTTGGCTCTGCTAGTCTTGGGTCACTGCGTGAGATTCAGGGTTAGGAGATGGGATTTCTCACTAATGCAGTATTGTGGAAAATATCAGAAAATGGCAAATATCTCTTTGAAAAGTGTTCAGGGGATGCYTCAGTTGCAATTCATGATATGATTGGCAACTAGGTTGAATCAGAAGCTCCCCAGTTTTGCCGCTCCCTTAAGATAACCTATGCATCTGTCTGCATAGATTAGTTCAGTGGAAGATAAGCAAAAGCACAGTGCCTTATAGAGACCTAAGGAATATGCCCTAAAGGGAAGGCTTCAGCCTGATGGGATATCACAAYCATTTGCTGTATATGGGGAGGAATGCAGTGCAAATTCAACAATACTTTAGTTTTCCCTTCACTTCTTTTGTACCAGGAAGTCAGATCCTTATTCTGCTTGGAATTGTTTAGTTTGTATATTGTCTTTTTTGATTAGTAGATTGTATAATTAAATTGGAAACACATTTAACATAAAGAATATTTACCTTATTTTTTCTTAAAGCAAACTGATTGATTCTGTTTAGTCAAATCTAGATGTTTTTCTTTAATTTGCTGTATTTGAATGGAACTTCTATAAAAATACAGAGAGACTGCTTGTMATGTGGGAGAAAGCAAGAGAATCCTTACTCTCCTGCTTGGTTCTGTATAGAGATGTGTGTTCCAATTGAGATCCTTGCTCAGCCTGGATRTTAAGATTTTCCTGAGGGGTTTCTGCCATATGATTGAGAGTCTTTGATCTCTGCAGGGATCTGGCATGTGTGGGTGACCTTATAATGAAAAGGTTTTCAAAGTAGGAAAAGAGAGCGCAATGAGAGAGACCACAACTGGATGCATCATCTACTTAAAAGTTAGATTATAAGTTAGGAGTGTAACATACTTGGTAGTGACCAACTGAGCTAATTGCTTAAATGCATCATCCTTCCTCTTTGCTGGCTTAATTACATGTGCATCTAATATTCTTAACGCAGTAGACGCATCATTACTCTTGGTCCAGTAATGCTGATTCCAGAGGAGCAGCCAGCTCAGCCTGCCTTGCCAGTCCAACCAGATGGGACCAGAGTGGTATGTGGGCACTGTGGAAATACGTTCCTTGTAAGTAGAGCTCCAGATTCTCCTTCTCAACTAAATGTGCCATCACTCAAGCTATTGCAAGTACTTCTRAGGGTATATCACCTCACCCTAAAATATTATCAAGGAATGTAAGTTCTGTCTGTGTACATGTTGCCATGGCTGTATAGCCTGTATTTCATTATCTCCACACACATCTTTGAAGAAACTTACAGTGTTCCTGGCGTGTATTGATGGCTGAAGCTCAAAGTCAATTGTTTCTCAGAGGTTTGAGAATGGACAGTACTGGAAACAGAAAAAATTTCTGCTTGACTTGCAGTGATGGTCGTGTTTTGCAGTGGCCAAGGAACGTTCTGCCATTGCTGTGTGGACCTGCAGGAGAGATTCAGCACAGTTGACACATTAGCATGTCGGTCAGTGCTGTGGGACTAGAGATTTTGGSTTAAATCTGAACCTGAAAGTTCCTTTCCCTTTTGCAGCAAGAAGTACAAAAATATTAACGTGCTGTAAGTTGTTTTTTCAGCCTTTTTACATAAACAAGGAGCTACCGTAGATCACTTTGGCAGTACATAAGAAAGTATATTAGCTGTAGCTTCACCGTGCAGCAGCCCTGGAGAGAGTTTGTTGGGTTTCTTGTTTCTAAGCAGCAGCCAGCATGAGCAGCACTGCTGGTGGATCTGCACAGTCGGTCGTGGTGGTGGTTGAGAGATGCTCTGGGGCCCGAGATAGCCAAGGGCATCTCGTGAAGGGCGGGCGAGGTTGTGCTTCATGTTGGCTTATGCCCTCAGTGAGAAAAGGGTTTGTTGGTGAAGGGCTTTCTGCTGGACTAGACGTGCTCCTTACCCTTACGTTGCCTTCGTRGATCAGGGAGGTAAATGATGGTTTATTACTGTAGCAGATGAAAAAYGTAGGGAGCAGAAGATGGCCTTCTTTTAAAGAATATCAACCAGGTTTGGGAATTTACACTTAGCATTTGAGAGAGAGGAGGAAAAAAAATAAAAAAAATACTGTTGAGAAGCAGTATTTCTATGAATTCAGTTCAAATATAAATATATGTATTTAATCCTAATATAGTCCCCTCTGAAGAACAGAAGTCCATAAGTACCTAACCAGGTAGACCTGGAATGATGCATGTGGGAGGCTTAYAAACTTACTGTGTTTCTGCAGTTTAGTATCTCTGTGTTATAAAGCAAAATATAATGCAAAAATGTATCTCCAAGCAACTCATTAAGGTATCTCTCTTCATTTGTCAGTTAAAAAAGAGGGGGGAAAAAAAGCTAAAATAGCTGGGGTGGAAAACTTCAAATTGTCTGTTGCTCATTCAGTGTTGTGTCCGAAGAGTATCTGTTCGTCCACCTCTTCTAAAGCAACTTCCAGCCATGTGAAAGCAGAATTATGGGCTGGGCCTTCTCTGCACCTACAGATGTGAGAGGTGTTTGTTTTAATTTTATGTCCTTGTAGTTCAGAMAGACAACTTTAGTGTTACGCCCTGATACTTGTTCTTTATAAGTTGTGCCAAACACCCTCACCTCTATGGAGCACCACTGAGTACTGCTTAAATAACTACTTACATGTGTGATGTTTTGGACAGATTTTATGATGGTGTTTTATTTGATTAGAAATAATAAGCAAATCTGTAATCAAATGTAAGCAAATGTGGAACTAACTTAGGATTAATTTGATATTATAGGTGAGCTCTCAATAATTGCTGGCATATATTTGTTTGTTGGGCTTTTGTGGATAGCCTTTTCTGTGTTTAGGCTTCCATTGCCTCTGGCAGATTTGGAATTTGGACAAGTGGGAAAAATGGTCAAAGAGAAAGTGAGGCCAAGGTGGTGGTTGGACTGTCCTGGTAAACTGCAGTCTGGTCTGGCTTGGGCTCTTTCCAAGCTCCTCTGGCCTGGTCATGAATGGRTGTTTCAGCCAGCAGCAATTCCCTGCTCCAAGGGGCTCTGGTGGGGAGAGGACTGAGGCCCGGAGCTGCCTTCGGAGAGGATGAGAGAGGGTGATCCCAGTTCCCCTCTCATCTTCCTGACACTCTGGTTTCCAAGGATGGTCCCAAGGAAGACGAGCGAGGAGAGAGCTGGGAAGCTGCAGGCCATAGGCCCAGCGCCCTGCCTGCCCAGCTGTGCTCTGGCAGTTTTCTCCTCCAGAACTAACCAATTTCCAATATAYCAGGATTTTTATCATCATCTTAAATGAGATACTTTAAAGTTTTCAGAAAACCGAGAAATGCTTTAATTTATGTAGGTGTTTTGTTTTCCAAGAGGATTCTCGCAGAGTGAACAGACAGGCACAGCTTGTGTATAGCTGCATAAACCCAGCAGTGAGTGTGTCTGTGCCTCTAATCACTGATTTGGATTATTGTTCTATTGTGTTATTTCAGTTAGAAAAAAATCTCTCTTGTTTTGGGAGGCCAAGTGTCCTGGTACTGTAACCTCAAGTTTTATTAATAACTTCAAACAAGATTAGAGTACTTCAAATCATCCTGGAATATTAGTGAAAATACTGACTTTAACATCTAGTTTAATTTCAGGTTTAAACCTATCAAGCTCCCAAGAATTAGAATTTATTTGGAAGTAAGATTATTTCCCTGGGGGTTTTTCTGTGTTGCAGGAGGGTCTGAATTCTTGCAGTGTGAGGCCCTTGTCAAGGTGACTTCATTGCTGGTTCTCCTGAAAGCCTTTCCTGCAGCAGGAAGCCTGCAGCAGTCCTTAGAACAAAAGGCTCTTCTGTGACTTCCAGGTGACTTGCAATGGGAACAGCTTATCTGGGCTTCTGCTGGCTCCCACCAACTGGAGCTCAGAGGCTTCAGAGACTCTATTCTTACATCAATTAAAAACATAGATAATAATTCACCGGGAATCTTAAAATCCATGCAGTAATCATTGGCGACTAATGTGGGAAGTAGAGCTGCCTTCCTTGGGATAAATCTGGTGCACATAAATGAAATTCAGTTACTGAGATACTAAATTTAAGCCCTGGAATTAGGCTTCTTACTCTTTCTAGAATTGTTACCTAAGAATTTTGTTACCTTTCTAGAGGTAGTTTTTATTAAAAGGTAATTTTTGTTACCTTTCTAGAAGATTTCTTTACCTTTCTAGAATTGTTACCTAAGAGGATATTTCTGAAGAGGTTTGTCTCTATCTCGGGTGCTGACCAACTACATGTTAGCTCATTTTTCCTTGTTGTAAAACCCAGAGGAACTGATTAGYGCTTCACGTGGGTGCGTGTGAGGAGCTAACGTGGTTCTGTGGCAGGAACATGGGAGGAGGAAGCCACGTCCGTAAAATGCAAYGCTTGGGCAGGGAGCGTTGCAGAAATTTTCAGGCATTTAATGGTCAAATAGAAGTTAGAGGTACAGGACAAGAGCTTGGCTGAGTCTTTGGGAACAAGTGCATTAAAAAATAGAAGGCAACCATGTAATGTGTAGGGTAAATTGATAGTTTGGAATCAGAAAAGCATTAAAGGAGCTCCTTCTAGTAGAGAATTAATCCCCTCAGAAGTGCGTGTCACTGAGGGAGACCTTCAGAAGGCTGGGCAGCATGCTCTGAATAGCATGGGACACAAGCTTGTGATGCAAGTAGGATGCAACTGGCCAGGCTTTATAGAACTGTGGCTTTAGGTCTGTACATTAAAGCATGAATTAATTCTCAGTGTTTGAATGGTGCTGTGATGTGTCTAGGTCTGTGTGCAGCAGCTGGCCGTGCGTCCTGCTGCTCGCTGCAGTGCCCTGACTTCTGACTCCTTGAGATCAGGAGAATCTGAGTGGAGGAGGTGTTCTCCAGGTGTTCTGGAGCTTGACCTTGTGCTCGTAATTGGTAGCATGGCTTTTCCACAACTTAGCAGAGGAGTTTGATTTCTTAGCAGGAATTACGTGTTTCCTTACCCAGGAACCTGTGCCAACCACCTCGAGCTGGGAAAGCAGCAGGGAAAAGAGCGAGTCCCATGTTTAGACTGGGTCACCAGCAAGATCCACACCCATATGTGACCAGAGCTGCTAGTTCTTGTTCGGATGTTCTTGTTCGGCATCTTATTGAGATGATACGATTAYCTGGAAACCTGAGTGAGAACTAGATTTGTACCCCTCAGGTTAGGGCACATAGCAATGACCTCTTCCCCCTACCCTCAGCACCTCTCCATAGACCAGGATGTATCTGTTAACAGATGAGCAGAACCCCAAGGYTCCCCAGCTTTTACACTTCCATCATTGGACTGTCCAGTATCATTCTGGCAGTGGCAGTTCCCCAGCCTTGTTTATGTGGGAAGAGACAAGTCACAAGAAGGAAGGAAGGTCATTAGTGGTGGGAGCCAGTGGCACCAGCACCATGAGGTGTCCTTGGTGTCCTCGCCCCTCGACACAGTGTCCTTGCCCCTCATGGAGTGAGGGATGTGGGCTCTGGGAGTCTCCTTTGTTTCCAGATAATCTCACAGCACAACCCCTTAGGGCTTAACTCCCTGCAGAAGGAAGAAATCCTTCTTCTTGTCTTCCTGCCCAAGGCAAATGTGCTTAAAAACAGGCACTCAACACTTGTATCATCACAGGATGAAGTGCAACAAATACTGCTGTTTTAAAACCAATGTGTGGTTGTGTATCATTYGCTTGAGGTAATGCGACGTGCTGTTACTTTTGCTGAGGCTGCATCCCAGATATTTCAGTCCTGTTTTAGAAGGCTGGGACCATCCTACAGATATTTTTATATGTCAGCTCTTTAACTTATCATCTAAGTAGCCAATAGTGTTGTTAACTTACATAAAACATAAGTTTTATATAAAGTTAAAGTTATGTAGAAGTTATGTTTAAGTAAAGTTAAAACTTTAGCAAGTGATGAGGGGGTTAGGGGAAGATGGGAAAACACATCTGTCCAATAGTGCCAAAGAAAACACATTCACTTGGAGTTGTGAAATTATGTTCATAAGCAAGCTTGGAAGTAAGAGAAAAAAATCTGTATTGCTCTCATGTTGCCTATATTGTATTACTCTCATGTTGCCCACCCGGGGGTGGAGTCACGTTACGTCAAGCAAGTCCTGCAATAGTAAGACAAGTCATGGGAAACTTTCCCCTGGAAATCCCGATCCTAAATTACCATTGACAAAAGGRCATCCTATTTACGAAAGAAAGCAAGAAACAAGTCAGAGAAAGCCTGAGAAGCAAAATGTTTTCACAGTGACGTTTAGCATGAAGTCAAACAAACACTTTCTCAGGCCAAGCTTTCAGCTTTTTTTTCTTCTTTTTACAGTGGATGGAACTGAGGTTTAACACACTGGCAAAGTGTCCACACTGCAAAAAAATGTAAGTTACRTAAATGAAGCTTTAAATATGTTCCACAATTTTCTTCCGCAGGAGTTTCTGGAGTGCGATGTCCGCCTGCCTCTTGCTTGGCCGCGTTCACCTGAATTTCAAGACTAAAGAGCACATTGTGTGCACATGAGTTGTCCCCTCAGCTCAGTAACTTGGACAGAGCAAACCTGCGTTTCTTACTTTCGCCTCCAACACCTCAGTCTGAGCATTAAGCTGCTCACCACTGACAGAACTGGGTTGCTCAAATTAACAACTTGACTTTTTTTTTAATGTCCTTGAAATTTTACCGCTTCATGCAGTTAATCGGCTGTCGTGTTTGAACATAGAGTTTAATCTGACTTGTTTTAAAGAAGGAAAGGAAACAATCTATTGTTAATTTGGAAGAGGTTTCATTCATTGCAAACCCAACTAATTTGTATTAAGCATCTTATGGGACAGTGAATGTTTGTGAATTATTATGCTGTACTTTCTCTGCTCATTTGATGTTATACCAGTAAGAAGGAGATGTCATTTGCATCAAAACGAAGCATTAAAGCAGAACACAAGGCTCTTAAGAGTAGGGTTGTTCGTTTATTTAGTATTAATGATATTAAAAACTGTGCTGCAAACATACCTGAGTTTTACATACCTTAATTTTGTGTGGAATCTCAACCGCAGGGTGTGAAATAGGACTTACTTGTCTTGCTGGTTATTTAAAGATTTGCCTTCCCTTGATAGACAAGTGCTGCTTCCAGGTAAAGGAGCATATATATCTATACTGGCATGGGAGAAGCATGCATCTGTATTGGTCCCTCGGGAAGCAGAAGCCTTGTGATAAATGTGTCTTTGGTGCTGGYGTAGCGTGGCCTGGCCCTCAGCAGTGATTGCCATCTGTTGCTGAAGCATTTGGTAAAGAAATCAGTCAGGTGATGCACTCTACCTCAGGCGTGTAAATGGGCATGCAGTAGTGATCATGATTGAGTTTGCTTAGATCAGGTAAACTTGGGAACTCGATAAGATCCTGCTTTTCAGGTCCAGTCAGGATTTCTTATTTACATTCAGTGTTTACTTTTCCCTTTTCAGTTTTTTAACTAATCGCAATTTTTTAATATTGAACGTTTGCCAACTGAGCCAATTTCGAAAAATGTGGATGGTTTAGAGAAGGCAGAATCCTTCTCATTTAATGATGGAGAAGGGGATTGTTTTTTCCCTAATGTACTCACAATGTTTAAGGTCTGTCATAATGATGAAGACCCCTGATAAACTTCTAACATCTTTCCATCCTAAAACCTGTAAGAACCTAAAAGGAAACCTCTCTTGAAGGGTTTGACATCATCCCCTCAGACTGCTTTGGCTTTGGTGTCTTTCACATCTGCCCAAGGACCTCTCAGGTGCCTCCCCTTCCCTAGCAGCAGCTCCAAGAAAAAGAGCTGTCCCTGAATGCCTGTGGGCTCAGTTCACCCTGACTGGTCAACAGATGRAAACAGCTGCTTTTAATATTTGTAAATACTGCTCTTCTTTACCCTGGTTTAATAGTTCTGAATATGCATGTCAGGCTTGTTGTTCATGGATATTTGAGGGATGGGGTTTCAGCTGTCTTTACTCAAAGGTAGTTTGGCTTTTTCGTGTAATTTGGAACGGATGAAGAAAGTTTCACCACTTAGAGTGGGCACTGGTGGGTGCTGCTGCTTGGAGGCAAAAAGTGCATCTGATGTGCTGGGTTTGTCAAATGTTGCCAGGCCTTAGAAGCTTCCTGTGCATATTTGCACTTCTCTTTCTGTGGTGAGAAGCAAAGCAGTTGCAATTAAATAAAGACTTGTTTATTTATTTATATATTGGTAGTATATGAAGGGAACTTCATCTTCRGCAGCCCATTTTATTTGGTAAGAGGGGACAGAGCTTTAAGGAAATATGGATGAAAAATAAACATGGCAGTTTCAATGCTTTGGTTGCAAAAAAACGAGCTCAGGAGTTGSGCAACTCCTGAAGTGAGGATTTTTCCTCAAATGAGCCATGTTTCTATGTGCAACCTGAAGTGCAGTAAACGTAATGCATGTTTTAGATGGATTAGATATGGCACTTCTACCAGCTTATTGCTTGATTAATGCATATTTGCAAGTATTAGGCTCTAATAAAATGAATGTGCTGAGTATGTAGCTAGGAAATGCTGCAAGGGGAGGTTCAGCTCAGTTTGGCAAGCTCAGTACTCGTCATCTGGAGCTCTGGAAGGTGCCTCCCCCTTGTTTATACAGCTCCCTGTTTGTCTCCATCCTGTGTGCTTCTTGGCATCAGGAATTTCACACTTTCTGGAGTGGCCACACAAGAATTAAAGGTGGCTTTGGGGGCCGAGTGAACAGTTTTCACCTGTGTGGGAGTAGGTCAGGCAGCAGTTAAGCAGTTAAGGTGCCACCAAATCAGCAATTCCCCTTTCTCTGCCCACTGAAAATGTGCACAGGGAGGCTTTCAGTGCCAAGTAACTTCTCCTGGAGAATCTATAAGCAGAATAAAAGAAAGGAAAAAGACATAAAACTGAAAACATAGAGCAGACAGTGTCTTAATGGTCAAAACTTCCAGTCCTTGTCTTGCAAGATGAAGCTCAACTTGGGCGTTCGAGCTTGAGGACTTGATTCTTTTTTTGCCCTGAAGCAYTTTAGAAGTTCCTTGTAAAGAAACAGCACTGTACGAAAGCTGCTTAATTCAGTCTATTTGAAGGCTCTCTAAAATGAATGTTTAAAAAAAAAATCTAGTCACATGCTAAGCATATGAGGCCTTGCTGTGCAGCTAATTAGCTGGAGCTGGAAATCTGGTCAGTCATGAGACAGATGAAGAGCTGAGCGTTGCTTTCTTGGGTGTATTTTAGATAAATTACAGAGCTATCATGAGATGTAAACGGCTTTCCCATGCCAGTGTTTCCTAAGGGAATGTTGATCCCCTGTGATGGGAGGAGGCACTTCRTTGCGGAGGGCCTCCTTGGGGATGTTTCACAGCTGCCTCCAGGACCACTGGCAATGTGGGAGAACTTCAGCTTCTCCAGCCTCTCTGGGTTGACCTGCACGTCCACTGTGTTGCACTGGAATTGAATCGTGCTCCCATTTTAATCACCAGTGTAGGTGGTTAAAAGACATGATTAAAAATGCCTGACCCGAAATGTACTTGCCAAACAGTGCTGAGCTTCTGGAATCATTTTCAAATGTGTAGTGAAGAACCCAGCCTTTTATTAAAACTTGGCAKTTGGTTTGCCTGAAGCACTGGAGTAGCTTCTTTAATTTGGCAGATAGAGACATAGTTGTCTGTCTTGAGGAGTTTACACTCCTGTGACAGGACATCTGAGGGATTTGTTTAGCTTGGTTGTCAGCAGATTGTGTAGTTAATATAACTTAGAGTAGAACTCTAAAAAAAACCACTGAAAGTAAAAAGGAACTTGTAACGTCTTTGAAGTTACTAAAACCGACTTAAATGTGTTTAAAAGAGCTTGAGTCTTTAGAATCATGAGAATCTTTCATGTTCATCATGCTTCTGACAAAGGGAACTGTTAACATTTGGAGGGGGAAGAGAGAAGATGGGTGAATCTTCAAGAAATTGGGCAGAGTTTAGGCAGTCCGTGGAGGCTGACTCCTTTATTCCAGGAGATAAACTGCAGGCAATTACCATGACACTGAGAAACTTCATATTGCAAGACACTCTTTTATGTTGAAGTGATGTTGAAGGCAACTCAAACTGTAGGTCTGACACACCTCTCATAGATTTTTAGATACTARTATTTTTGTTAGTCTTCATCTATAGTTCCCTTTTAAGGAAATATGTGCACTGTCTTTTACTTTGTATTTGCTATAATGTTGGTTTTYGCCTAGTCCTTTATAAAATTAAGATGGCAGGCGTGTATTCTTGTTTTGTTTCCCCACACACTCACACACTTAGACTGAATAGTGTTTTTCTAATTATTTTCAACGTTATTTTCTTGCAGCTCCTCTGTGGGAAGCGCGCTGCCCCGGAGACGCTGCTGTGCCTACATCACCATTGGAATGATCTGCATCTTCATTGGAGTGGGACTGACTGTGAGTGCTGCACTCCCATGTGCATGTGTGAAGGAGCTACCCCGAGCTACCCTGATTACCCTCAGCCTCTTCTTTCCCCAGCTATTGAACTAAACCTCTTAAGTTTGTGTGTGTCTATATGTTGTTTTGCCTTTCCTATTAATAGTTTTAATTATCACAGTTAACTAGAAAAATTAATTTTGATTTCAAAGAATGTTCTGGCACTCTGACATTCTCGATTTTCTCATATTAAGTCTTGATCTTTATTTTGCAAACTTTTGTTCTGTGAGAAATGTCATAAWTTGTTTTAGAAATACCAGAGCATGTTGCTTTTGGTAGAGCTCTCAAATGTTCACATTTCCAGAGAATGAAAATATTTTTCCATGAGGCACCACAGCAGGACCTGACTGGGCAAAAACCTGAACTGTTTGGTGTGAACTTAAACCTGCCCCTGTTCTGACCAGGGTGTTGGGCCAGAAACCTCCTGGTGTCCCTCCTAAGCTCGATGATCCTAGGATTGCTTGGAATGATGCTAATATCTGATTTATCTTTATTGGGGTGAAGATGGCACTGAAATGTGTGTCCTTAAAGTTTTCTCTTCTCTGAAGAGCAGGTACTGCTACATAGTTGACTTGTTTTTCTATTTTTTCTTTTGTTTCCTCTGTAGGTTGGTACACAAGACTTTGCCAGGCGATTCCATGCAACATACGTCTCTTGGGCTGTTGCTTATCTCCTAGGTTTAATCTGCCTCATTCGAGCCTGCTACTGGGGAGCCATAAAAGTCAGTTATCCAGAGCACAGTTTTGCATAGAGCAATTGGTAGATTATAGCAGATGAACATCTAGTAATTCTGGATATTACATCCTGGACACTTTTAAAACCTTTCCTGTAAGGATTCCATTCTGTTCAAAATAGTTTTAAGACTGGGGGTCTTTAAGAACAAATGTTCATTGCACTACATAATATGCAACTAGTTTGTTTTGCTGCTAGATTCCCTAGCTCTGAATACTAAAGCTTTGTTTACATGTTCATAACTCTGTCTTTGTAGGTGTTGAATTTCATTCCAACGGACAGTATTAAGTTTTACATTTCCTTTGTTATGTTAAAAATCAGTCTGCCTTTTTTTTTTTTAGGTTATCAGTGAGAATTCAAAAGCAAGAGTGTTTATAAGTGTTTCTACAGTAGCACCACATTTGTACTTACCATTTTAACGACGAATATATTCAAGTGGCTTGCTTTAAAACCTAAGCAATAAGCACTTTGCTTGAACTGCTTACTGTATCTTTTTGCCTAAGATCATAGTGACCTTATTCAGGAAATTAAATTTATGAGTGTTCTTTAAAAGACTGACACTGTTGCTAGAGAGACATTTGTAAACACTGTACGCTTTGAGATTTTTTTTCAGGTAGAAAGATGCAATATTTTGGTAGTCTAATTAAATTTCCATCCAGGATGGATTTTGGTTGGAATAATGCTTTCTCCTTGAGAATCCTGGGATTTGGCTTTTGTATTTTTCTTTCCTCCCCCCACCCTTTCTCCTTCCTCCTTTCTGTTTAACTGGCAAATCCTAAAGCCATGCTTGGAGCACAGACCTGAACTCTGGTTACTTGTACAAGTTCCTCTGCAGGGCCTAAGGGAAGCATTTCATGTTACATGTTTGTAAGCCTTCAATGCCATGTAGCCAACAACAGGGTGGTGATGGGTTGCCTCTTACTTTCCTCTGATCATGTCAGATTTTTGCTCTGTTCAGGAGAGATGCGCACTGGTCACGGCAAAGGGAGACACTCTCACTTCACATTAACTGAGAAAATAAATAAGTACTTGGATCATTCCATCAAAGTCCACCTAGTCGACTTAGCTCTGACTTTCCCAGAGAATACGGAAGCAGAAAGGTTTTTTCTAATGATGTATTCACAAAGGATCGAGGGACCAGTTCTTGCACTGCCCATCTTTATAGTTTTAAACAAGTTTTTGCTAAATTCAGAAGGAATGTCCTGAGTGGTTTAGATGACTGTAGTAACTTAGATAATGGGGTCAGATGGGTAACTTAATGTGGATGTTTCAGGGATACATGTAATTTAAATTATCTATGTTCCTGCAAGGACAAAATGATATTCAGATAAGGATTTTTGAGCACAATAAATGTAAATGATCAACCTGTAAATGATCTGTCTTTGTATGATGATAAATGTATAAAAGCAGTAGCTCAGGATTACAATGTACCTTTTACAAATAAACTAATAAATAAAGATTATTATTCAAAGTTAATATTCTGTTATTTATGCACATGTATAAAATACACAAGGTGAAGAATTGTCAATATGGTCTAGAAACAACACAGGTACCACACAGCAGATGTGAGCTCTGTAATTCTTGCTGAACAGCAGCCTCAGGAACCCAAGAGAGCAAGAGCAAATCGATTTCTTGATGCTTTCAGGAAGAAAGAGGAGAAAGTAAATGAGGTGAAACCAGTACTGGGAATGTGCTCTCTGTAGCAGTAGCTCATTGGAAGAATTTGTTAATCCCTGTCTTTCTCCTTCTCTTTCCCTTTTCCCCCAGTTGCAGCGGATCACTGTGCTCATTTGCATCTTAAACCTCGGGATACTCCTTGTACCTGTCCTGTGTTTCAAAATGCTGCTTGCCCTCTGCATCTTGAAATAAAGCAGGCTGCTGCTGTGCAAGAAAATCATCTACTGCTCCTGTAATTTAAGGGAAGGGGGGGGGGAAAAAAAAACTGGGAATAATGTTAGATTAATGAAGCAAAGAAATTCAAATGTTTTGCCTGTATGAAACTCTTATTTCCCACCTCATGTAAATAAATGGACAACATAATCGGTTTTATCTGCATTAGGATAATTGCACAGTACTGGCTACTGTTTTGCTTTTGCAAGGTGAACCCCTTTGGTTATTTCTAAATAAAATGTGAAATGCATTTTATTACATTCCAACCACTTTTTTGACCCTTAAAAATCATGATATCTAATTGTATAAGGAGGCGATCAAGAGAACTTTCAGAGATTCTATAAAGGACTTCAGGAGCTCTGAATTTTGGGAGCAGGTTTGTGTGGAGACTGCCATGACACTCTGTGATAGACAACAGCTCAGTCCAGTAGGTTTTCTGTGAGGAATACCTTTTTTAAAGAAGCCCTCACTGATGCCTGTTAACTAGAACCTTTGGCTGTATTAATGTCTGAATTCATTGACTGTTAATAGCCTAATTATTATTGATCTATTATTTTGTGCGCAGTAGGAGGTGGAGCTTTGAAAATCCATAAGGAAGTCCTTTTGTGTTTTCAGCTTTTCTCTTCTCCCTTTCCTGATTTCCCTTCTCTCCCACCCACCCAAAAATGTTTATACAAAATTCAGTGTTGCTGACTAGGAAATATTTCAGACCCTAAAAAGTTTATTTTTTTAATTACAAAGTTGCCATTAAGTATTGTAATATTTTTTGTTGTTTCCCTATTACTCGTTGGTATGTTTTACCTTAAACAGTGGCAGGTAGCACTTCTGGAAGTGTTGTGTGTCATTTGATTATAAGGAGGGCTTTGTTACAAGTAGCACAGAAGAAAAAGCCAGAGGTTTCAAGGCRACTAGATAAGAAATTCACAATGAAAAGTTTACAGAAGTTACTGGAATGACCCTAGAGCCATCTGAGAGTGTCTTCATTTTCTTCCAGGCAACTTTTGTTGTCTGTATTTCTTTACAAATAGAGGGAAAGGCAAGATTTCATATCAGTTGTGAGAGGAAAACCTGTAACTAACCCTATGGACTTGACAAGAGTCAAGATGACTAGAATAGATGAGCAGAAGCAAATACAACTTGTCATGTTAGATCAGTCTAACTGCCGTTTCAAATAGGACAAAATACTGCACTCCTGTAACATAGCCTCTATATGTGAGTAAGATTTCTGAAAACATTTGTGATTTGCTTTTCAAGATTGCTTAGAACAACATACCTCAGTGAAATTACTCTAGAGAAGGCAAAACTCAGATTGTTAAACTGGAAGGATGTAGCAGATACAGGGCAGGTATTTGGAATTATCTGATATGTTTGTAACCATAGTATGCTCTTTACAGCATCTCTTTTACATGGAGCTGATACAAAGCTGATGCATACTGAGAGCAAGCTGGATGACAGGATAAAAAGTCAAATTCTTAAATTGAGGGGGAAATACAATTAAGTAAAATCAATGGCAAAATTCCAGAGCTACAAAGGAATAATCAACTAATGCATCACCAAATGAGCCCTGTCCAGCAGTATAATGCTCACCCTGGCTGTGCCAGGACTGTGCTGGGATGGGAGCACTGCTAGAAAAGATTAAATAATCTTTCTGTTCCCCTGTTGGGAAAGTCTCTCTTGGATTTCTGTCTTCGTTAATTTCCAGGCGCACTTAAAGACTTCCAGAAGATTTTCTGGTGTAAACACCATTCCTCTGAGGCAAAGCTGACCTTAAAGTGTTTTAGAACGGAGTATCTAACTGCTGAGTCAAATTCCAGGCAATGGGATAGGTGCAATTACTTGCCATATGTAGACTGTCCCTCTGTGACAGTCCTATTACTGTGTCAATAATGTAATATTGAAACAATATTTTTCCCTTGGATCACATCAAAAGTTCAACACAATGAAAAGCAGCAAAACAAAAGCCCGAGCTTCACTGGTGGAGTCTGCGTGTGATGGTCACAGCCCGTGTTTGTCAGAGGCCTCAAAGGTCACTGAGGATTGTTCTTTCTCTTGCGTGAAAAATGTACAGTTCTGACAGTGATGATTAATGACTTCACCTGGTTTCTGTGAAGCTGGATGCTTTTACACGTCCAACTTACAACAGCTGCAAATTTTGAAAACTTTTTTCAAAAATAGTTTTCAAAAACTATTGTGTCCTGGCAGGGAGTGGGCACAGGCCCGGCCTGGCGGCACCGCCGTCACACGCAGAGCTGCAGGCGGGAAGCACGGCCTAAGGGAGCTGCAGGCGGGAAACGCGGCCTAAGGGAGCTGCAGGCAGAAAGCACAGCCTAAGGGAGCTGCAGGCGGGAAGCGCGGCCTATGGAAGCTGCAGGCGGGAAGCGTGGCCTATGGAAGCTGCAGGCGGGAAGCGCGGCCTAAGGGAGCTGCAGGCGGGAAGCACGGCCTAAGGGAGCTGCAGGCGGGAAGTGCGGCCTAAGGGAGCTGCAGGCGGGAAGCGCGGCCTACAGGAGCTGCAGGCGGGAAGCGCGGCCTATGGAAGCTGCAGGTGGGAAGCGCGGCCTAAGGGAGTTGCAGGCGGGAAGCGCGGCCTATGGAAGCTGCAGGCGGGAAGCGCRGCCTACGGCAGGGCAGCGTTGCGGAGAAGAAGGACATGAGTTTGTATGAAAGGCAGCCTCGAACGTCTGCGTGTTGGTGGGGCACATTTGCCTTACAAACGCAAGCTGCTGCTTTGCTTTGCTTCCGTTAAACTGTCTTAACGTTCCCGCTGCTAAACGGTAATTTAGACTTACAGTCTCATTAATTTAGACTTACAGTCTCATGAAATAAGGTTTCCCTTTCAAGGGACACATTGTGGAAAAGATCAGTGTTGAGCATTTGAGTATCCTTTACTACTTGCAATAGAAAACTGTAACCGCAATGTGTGGTATAACGGGTAAGTTTTGAGAGCTGGACTCTATTTATAATAAATCCCCTCTCAGTGCCCAAGTTTCCTAATGGAATTACAAAATACAGCAGCCTCAGTAGACAAATCAGATCGGAGTCCGAGGGACTGCACGGTACAGAGCTCACTGCAAACAATCCTGGTTAAAAATAGCTCTCAGGAAGAAAAGCAGGGGGGAAAAAAAAAAAGCCTCCTTAATCTAGATAGTTTTTATTGATTTTTATGGGTGGAATGGACAAGCAGCAGTTTGCATGAAGGTGAAGGAACAAAAGACTGCGCCTCTTGAAGGCGAGAGGAGAGAGGAACTTAATCCAATTGAAGATGTTTGCAAAATGCTGAAGCGGTTGTTGGACTCCGCAAAGTAATATATTTACAGGCTGTTTCTTACAGATGTACTTACAGAGGGCTTTTATTTGACAACAGTAAACCTATTTGTTAATTTGACTAGCTAACAAATCATTTAAAGACTAATTTGAGCAAGAACCGTGTTCAGAAGAGGTTGCTAAATAGGCTTACAGGTCCAGGCCTCATGACATGTGACCTAGTAGTATTTAATGAACTATATACCAGTTTAATGCATCTTTCCCTGAATATTTTAAATTATTTATTTTAAAAAAGTTKCTTTTAAAATTAGTTGCTTCAAAAACTTTTGCCTAATTCATACACTTTCAGCCTTTTTAAATGTTGAAATACCTTATTGAATACCCTATTTCTATACTGTAATATGACTGATTTTATTTCTGAAACTAACCACAGGTTGCAGTATCTGCCAGTTTCTTAAGTTGTTCTTTTAACATAGTTTGAATTTTTTAGGGAATGTTTTTCTATACTGAGTAGAATAGTGTCTCTCAGAGTGCTGAGTGTGGAAGCTCTTGTCCTGAGCAGGCTGCCAGGCAGGGAAGCCAACAGAAAGTGCCCAGGTTTCCACAAAGTTGGGGTCTGCATTTCATTGAAAACACAATAACCTTAAGAGTCTGCCATTTAATTTAATGGGAGTTAGATAACCTGGGATTCTCTGATTTATTTATTTATTTATCTATCTATCCATCCCATCAGAAAATACTCAGCCAGCTCTAATCAGTGCTGATGAGGACTGTAAGAACCTACAGGGCTAATTACAGTTTGTGCACCCTTGTTACTGAGGAGTATGAAAATATCACTGTACCTTTCCTTTAACATAAATATGGATTATTGCTATTTTCAGCGAAGGGTCAAAAGATTCCCCAGCATATGCTTCAAAAGCTGTATTTAACTGATGCAACATTTCCATTCTCTGAGTTTTAATTGTTTCCTATCTCTATTTTAATACTGTCAAACATTAACCTTTCAGATTAAAATTTTCCATTTGCAGGTGTTTGTCTCAGGCAGATTTGCTGGGGAGTTTCAGCTTAAATAGGAAGAAGAGCTGAGAAAGAAATTGCTGTTTATTTGCTCATGYTTAAGCCTACATAGTCAGAAAATTCCAGCTCTCCCTACCATGTGCTTTGGAGCAGTTGCAGGATCAGCTGGCACATTTTCAACTCTCCTGTTAAAGCAAGCAGAAAGGTGA